TTTAGGGCTTGTGGGATAGGACCTGTATGGGGCGCGGCGTGCTTCATTCGAAAACACTGGATGCAAACCTCGTCCTGCCCGCACTCACGCAAATGCAGAGCTTTAGTCACATGACACGATGCTATGTCAACGTCCTTATCAAATAGGCTTAGGTAGGTAGGTAGGTAGGTAAGCAGGTGTTATTGATTTATTCGAAGCATTTTGAACCATGTTGCTTGCCACAGGAGGCATTTTTACCATGATCTTGCAAGGATCCAGGATGGCTTTGTGCACCGCCTGGAAGAGGTGTTAAGCCCTGGTCAGGAGGCCAGACCTGTGTACTGTAGGAGTCCAAAGATTATACGGGTGTGTAAGGGATCATGGAGAATCAATTTGATAAAATGGAACATGAAATGGACACATATAGAGCTTATAGGGACCTGAAATTATCTAAGCCTCATGGTTCTAGATTCCTGGCATGAATAGAGTTTGGTTGCCTCAATCAGACATCAAGAATATGTTGGTAACTGTTTAGGCCCTTTCACTACTTGTGAGTTGAAGCTAGGCGCACGGGCTTAAGCTGGATGTGGCAATTTTCTCAAAATCAGGCTGTTCCAAATCCGATGAAGTGACCCAGAAGTTTCAGGGATCGCCAGTAGGTTGTGTGTGGATTTTGTGGAGTGTGTCTCAAACTTGCTCGTCCACCATCAAGATCTGAGAAGGAACGCCTGAGGAACATAGATGGGTGACTGTGCTGTTAGAATGGGTCTTCTCCTGGGTTGTCCTTGAAGGAAGGGTCCACACGTACTTTAAAAGAATGGGGCGCGCAATCGCTGCATCATACTGCTGTAATCCCAGTCCTGAGGGTGTTTTCATGTTGCCAAGCTGGGGGACGAAAGACTTCAAATTGCTTTTCAACCCCAGTTGTAATCATATTTTTGGGTGGCCTGGGGAATTCAAAATCTCGCCAAAAGCACGTTGTGGCACATTCTACTGGCAACGAGGAGCCCCCCCCCGTCTTGGAAAGTTTCCTGGCATTCCTTCGGATAAGAGGTCTGCCTACAATCCTCACATACATTACCCCTGCATTTCTGATACAACCCTTCTTTCGATGGCCTTAAAAAGGTCATTGCATTACCAGTCGCCTTCAGGTAAAGGTCCAGATTCTGGCAGTGAACTTGCAGAGCAAGCAGCTAACCCTCTCCATGAGGGGGGGCTTCAACCACAAAAAGCAGGACTAACGTGAGGGAGGTTAAGGATGTATAAATCGGATCCAGGGTTGGTTCCCAGAATAGCCCACAGTGTTGCCTGTCTTTCACATATAGCTGCACCGCCAGCCTAGGATTTTGGAGCGGACCGGGGTTTAGTTTGACCATATACCATTATATAGGGGAGTACGCTTATATAGGAGAGTAGTAAAGGGGAACACTAGGAGTTTAGACAATAGCTCATATACAGGAATTCTGTAAGGATTGTGCGCAGAAGATCTTGCCAACACTTCCTTAACAAGACTATGAAGGGGGCTTCTTGGATGCTACATGCTTGCCATGTGCCTTTGGGAAACCGCTAAAACAACAAGCAGCTAACCTCAAGGAAGGGTAGAGCTTCAGAGTTTGGATTTTCGAGTCTCTAATAGGCTTTGAGAGTGCTAGTCTAGAACGACCAGCTGTTTCAGTCAAGCACACGTTTTCAGACAAGAGCGTGGTCTCAAGAAGGAAAACTTAAGCGCCTAGGTTCGACAAGTAGCGAAACTAGGTAAATTGGCGACGCAGAATGCATGGTACCCAGAAGCATGACCTGCGTTTTTCCAGCCCCTGCGGCATGATCAGTTCGGGGTTTAGGGCTTGGGGTTTTGGGGCTTCTGTTCAATGCCCTCTGACCAGAATCGGTGTTGCGGTAGCCACGAATCTTTCTCCTTACTCCAGTGTTCAGGCCTGCGCAGACATGTGAAGAAGATTATCCGGACCCCCTGAAGCCCCCAAAAGACCACATTTACAGAATTTAATAATGGTAGGGAATTCTTGGGAGGTTCCATTTCTTCCTTTCGGGGGCCTGGCAAGAGTAGGAGCCGGATAGGCTGGGAGCCCATAGCCCGTTGATAAGCATCCAAACCCAGTCATCACGTATAGATCTGCACACCTTTGCGTCCCCTAAATAATCCCATGCCGGTTTAGGGTTTATAGGGCATATGTCCAAGGTTTTTCTCGCGTACTCAAACAAACTTAAGCGATCTTTCAAGTAAGAGCCGGGAGACCAAACTATCATTGAACACCATGAAGCCCCCATGTAAACAGACTGGTCTTTACAGTGATTCTTTGGGGAAAGCAGGTGGCGTTCACGAACCTTGAACTTACGCTTCATTGTTCATTCTGATGCAAAGTCTGTTCGAGAGCCAGGCTTCATCTTTTGAGGTTCAGATCAGGTGTAGGTTCACTGCAGTCTCATCCCATCCCAAACAAAGACGCACAATCCTAACCCAGAAACTCAGAAGATGATACCCTTACTGCCCTTGCGCAACTGTAGCGTAATAGTCTTTGCCCACTGCCAGCAACGACAATGGTTTGACTGGCAAACATCTTCGCCCTCAATCAGCTACAAGGTGCTTTTTGCAGGTTGTGAATGCCTGCAGATCCTGCTCATTTGAGCAACTCACCCCTGCCTGTCTCGGCCCAAAAACGAGTTTGACAATTTTGGTCATTGCACTCCACCTTTACTTGAAAGATGACGCGCAGGATGTGAGGCCCTTTGAGAGCGTTTCCTCCACAGAGTGGTTCCCTGGCACTGTGGAGAAGGTCAAGGAGTACGGGAGCTTCGTGACGGTGAGGCTGGGAGGGGAGTAGTGTCGTGCTGATTGTTTACACCTGTACCTCAAGTTTTACGTAGTAGCCCTGGGACACTAGCACGCAGGCGAAAGGTACTGGTGGCGTCACGTGTCGTGGTCGTCGTCGTGGGTTTCGTCGCGGGCGTCGTCGCCGTAGCAGCAGCAGCAGCAGCAGCAGCAGCAGCAGCAGCAGCAGCATTACGAGCACAGGGGCGAGACTGTGTGAGTAGAAAATTAATATCCATGCAGATCCATACAAACACATGCCCAGACGCATGCACATATACTATGTCTAAACAAGTGCGTCTGTGTATACATGTTCAGATGCCATAATGCGGCCCCATCAACTGTTATCCGGGCAATGGGCTTGTTTGCTACAATCAGCGCTCCGGCCTCTCCCGAGGCAAGGGAGGACAACTGCCGAAGGCCTTGTCCGCCCGTGGGAGATGGTGTTGGCCTCAGGGTTTCTTGGGGAATCTGCAGGGATATCTATAGTCCTGATTATAGAGACCCCCCAAAAAGGTACCCAGATTTTTGGAAACCACCCATTGTTTGGAGATTAGAAGTGGAAGCGGAGTGTGGGGTCCTTCTAAGGCACTAGATAGGGAAAAACGTTCGCAGCTCTCATGTAGGTGGTTGTCAACGTTAGGGTTCCCTTTTCATGGGGCTACAGGCCTTGTTCAGGATTCATGCGGGGCCTTCTAGGGATTCATTGCAAAAAGCGTGGCGGAATACTGTTTTGAATCTTGGGCTTCAGAAGTGAAGCCCTGAGCTTTAGGCGTTCGCAGCAGAACTGCTGCGTCCTGTGTACTGATTTTGTCTCAAGGTCGGTGAGCCGGCCACTGGCGACGCCGTGGAAGTCCGAGTACTGGGCGTGAACGTGGAGAAGGGCCCCTTTGGTCAAGATGCTTGTGTTTCAGGGTTTTTGTCGTCCAAGCCCAGGCAAGGTTCAGGATTCATTTGTAGGACGTCACGCCCCCACATAAGGGCCCGAGGATCCCGATGAAATCCCTGCTTAACGCAAGACTTCACACAGGGATATTGAGAACCCACAACAACCGCAGATTGTCAATATATACCCTATTATACTATAGTAGTTTCCATTTTATTTTCCATTATCCCAATATAACCCCTATAATATATCTCCAATATAATCCCAATATAAGGGTCTCTCCGTAATTGTGGAATCAGCTCCATCCTCGGAGACGTGCAACTTGTCGCCTTTTGCGGTTTGAGGATTTGCTGGACTTGAGCACCCCCGGGGTGCTGCAATGGCCTTATATTGGATTATATTGGAGATATATTATAGGGGTTATATTGGGATAATGGAAAATAAAATGGAAACTACTATAGTATAATAGGGTATATATTGACAGGATCCTGGTCATCAGCATTGTCATCATCACTTTCATTGTCATCATCACCATCATCATCATGTTTGTACTATCCCCGCAGTATTGTTGCCGTTTTGCAAGACTTCTGCATAGGTCAAGCGCGGCTCTTCTTCTCGACTTGCTCAAAATGACACCGTAATTTTGACAACTCGAATATTCACAGGGACTCCGAATGCTTGGGTTTTTAATTATGGGTGCCTTTAGTCATTTTGTCTGGGAAGCTGCCATACGCCCATCAGCATGTTCAGCAGTGAGTAGCACAAACATATAGATTGATGAATGTAGTCTATTAGAGTTTCGTAGCTAGCTCCTGACGACATGCTGGCACAGTCCACCTCAAATCTTCGCTGAAAGCATGTGTCCCCATTCCTGAATCTCCTGCTTGGAGACTTATAACTGGGAGTAGAACCCTACTTATAATTGGGGTAACCCCTATAAGCCCTTCTAGGGGGATTATAAGTAGGGTTATAAGCCCAGGTATAAGTAGTTACTAAGTCCCATGGGCCTCCAAGTACCCCAAAAAGCCATCTCCCAGCCCAGGTGAGTAGTATTTTATTTGGGGATATTATGGTACCCATTATAGTGTAAGTTTACATCCTCCTTTTGAGGTTTAGTATTTTGTATAAGGAATATTATCTTACTGGGGTTAACCACCAAAGAAAACGCTACTCAGGTAGCATGTTTCTTTCTATGAAGCCCCCATTCACGCCTTCAGCGACTGGAGCGGGGGTCGACGGGTAAGCGGCAACAAAAATGCGCGAGTCCCTTCGGGGTTGGGATCCTTGCTCAGACATGTTTGATGTTGCGGTTAAGGAATTTGAATTAAATTGCCGTAATATGGCTGTATGGTACATAATGGGGTTTGTTTATAATGATAACTGAATTTAAGTTCCTTAACAACAACCCAGTAGAGTCCTCAAACTTGAAAGCATGACTCTCTTCAATCTTGTCAGGGTTGCTGCTGTTCTTTTTTGATTGTTGTGTCTGGAAAGTCGTAGGAAGAGCGCTCTCCGGGTAGATCGCTCATTGTTATGACATCCATCAATGAGACGGTTCAGCTCCTTTGGTGTAATTCTCCGAGCTTCTGCAAGACTATTGTAAGGGATTATAATAGTACACTTCCCCCCCAAAAGTACCACCCGCAAATTCAGAACCCTATTCGGCCTTGTTATGCCCTAGATCGTCCTTCTTAGCTCCTTAAAGGGGGGGGGGTACCTTGGTACCTTTGGGGGGGTGTGTACTATTGTAACCCCTTATATTCCCTAAACCCGCGTAAAAAGTCCGCTGGCTGTAAAAAGAGCCCAAACCCTAAACCACGGATATTGCCGCAGACGGTGCACCTAGGCAGACCAGACCTGGCCCCAAGCTCAAAGCGTACTTGGAGGGGAGGAGTAACTGCAATTCCGTGGAACTTCCTTTTCATCCCTACTGCTAATTTCTGCTATAGTTTCATATAGGTATTCTGTATAATGGTACATAGCAGGATAGTATAATATAGTATTCATCCTTACTTGCAATTGTATAGCTAGTAATTCACTGCAACCCAAGCTCAAGCATGTCCAGGGTTTACCTGTTGACTTATGATTGCACACCAGCTGCAGCTTGAGGTCGGATTTACTTTGGCCAAGGGTTTAGGGTTTAGGGTGG